GTCAGACTAATAATGAGAATGATACAATTGTTCAAACAAATACTTATTTTGAACCTATTAAATGTTCAGTTATAAACAAGAAATATGGATTGCTTAGAATTAGAGGAGCAGAAGTCTAACTTCACTCAGTGACTTAATAAATGTGAATGAAATCAGTGAAATATTTGTTATTTTTACCTATCAAATTGGCTGGAACAATCTTACATATGATACCGAAACAAACTTTCTAGTATATTCTACCAAAAATTTGGAGTTCCTGTTAGGGGTAGCTGGAGCTAATAATAAATGACACGGCATTTAGCAAGAGAGATACTACAAGAAATGGCATCTAAGGTGTTGTATCAGCTTACTGGATAGGGCAGCAAAGGCAGGTATTAAGGACCAGGATGTTAGATGCAGGAAGCTGGTGTCCCCTGCTATGCACCAGCAAAACAGCTTGCCGGCCCCCTGCCTGCTGAACGTTGGCACATGGGCCACACGCTCCCTGGGACTGTGCTGCTGAGAAGGAGGAAAGAAAAGTCAAGAATGTCGGCATGTTAGTCATCTATCACTGCACAAAACTTACCCCCAGACATAGCAGCTTAGCACAGAAGGCATTTGTTATTCACAGTTTCTATGGGTCGGGAATCTAAGCACAGCTTAGCCAGGCCCCGATGGCTCAGTTTCTTGGAGGATTGAGATGGAGGTGGTCTCTCTGGGGCTACAAACTCAGAGTAGGGAGTCTGCAAATCCAACCCGCACTTAGGGGGCATACAAGTAAATTTCAGGAGGCGAGGATGGGGGAGGCCCCTTGTGGAGGCCGCCTCCCACAGTAGGTGTGTGATAACATCGTCTGCCACTTTCAGCAAAATTCCACACACAAAAAAATCAAACAATGCATCTCTATTTACAAAGAGAGATCACCAGAAATACAGCTTTGCTGAAGACTGTCATTTAGACTACCTAAGTCCATAGTTAAAGGTCTCGAAAGATTATGACCTAACCCAAATCTGTTTTTAGCAGCTGCTGTCTTAGCATCAAATCAACATGCTGCTAGCATGGGAGTGAGCGTACCCCTTGTGATTTTCTTTCCCCATGTTGATACTATAGTTTTTGTGTGTGTGTAAAATGTCAGATTAACTCCAAACAATGTCTTGGCATCACTGCTTTGCGGGTGCCCCCGTGTGCTCGCTGGGTGGTCTCTACACTCTCCAGACGATGCCAGCACCGAGAAGAGGAAGGGGATTGTCTCAGCCTCACGATCAGCACTGTCTGCAAGGCCGGGAGCCATCAGGGAGGGTGGGAAGTGATCGGTGCTGGGGTGGGTGAGCAGGTAGAGGGGTGGATGGATGGGTGAGCTCCACCTGAAGGGAGAGACATTCTAAGACATGTCAGAAGTTTCAAAGGAGAAGTGGACTCTGAGCCCAGACTTGGAGGATGGTTAGGGGAGGTCTTCAGATCAGGGTTCTGGGTGGAATATCTCAACACTTGTTGTTCAGGTGTTATGAGCCACCACTCAGTCTAACTTAGTTCTATTCTTGGCTTGCAATCCATCAGACCACTGAGGTTAAAACCTCTCAGGGCCCTCTGGAAGCTGGACTCGGAAAGAACACACAGGTGGTCTCTGCAGTTGTCAGCAGCTCCAGCCACAAATAATTTATTCCCTGTACTTGGGCTTTTGCTACCGAGAGGGACAGGCTAATTGGGTCTTGCTGGCAATCCACATCAGCTAGAAGCTTCCTGCTAAGATCTCCCTTTCTCCTTTCCAACCTTTTGAAGTGCCAAGGCATAAGGCGAGGAATGTTTCGGAGCACACGCCAGTAGAGAATACCCTGTGTGGTTGTTTGCCCCAGTCGAGGTGTTCTCTGCCAGTGACTTCAAAGACTTTTGAAGTTACTGCTAATTTAAAAGCAATAATAAGATTGACACCGAAATGCTTCCCAGCTGGTTTTTCTGGGCAATAACTCTCACCAGTTCCTTTACAACCTGCTTTCTGTTACAACTTAGAGTTTGCAAAACATGGGCTTCTAAAACATTCCAACAGAAGGGAACATGTTTCTAAAACAAAGGCGTAACATGATCCTAGCATAGATATAAACGTGTTCTTCTGCATTTAGTACGTATTTCTTAATAATGAATGTCACTGAATTTGGATCTGTGAGTCAGCGAGCCGTAAGTTCAAAACCCAAGTCTTCCACTTATTAATTTGGTGTCCTTAGATGAGTTATTTAACTTGCCTAAAACGCTTCCAGTCATCCCCTAAAAATAGGGTATAAAAGTTATCTCTTTTGAAAGCTGGTCAGAGACATGGAGGCCCAGTGGGGAGAAGGCAGGGCCCAGCTCTTCCCTGTTCAGCTGTCACCTTGGCCTTAGTTCCCCTAACAACCCTGAGACGCTTCTCACCACTCATATGACAGGCCTAAGAATGAAATGTCATCACACAGTATTTTGTACTAAGTAAAGGTTCAATAAAACAATAGCTTTTATGAATGTAACGATGAAATTAGGGCAAAGAATCCAAGGTGCAGCGCCTGCCACCCAGCAGACTGCTTGGCGAGCAGTCTGGCCCCAAACTATTCTGATCACCATGTCTGTGTCAACTCAGCTATTGTTTCATAATCAATTACCCCAAAGCTCTGAAATTGATTTTATCAATGTTTTTTTATGATTTTTGCAGTGATCTTATCCATATTTAAGTGAAGACTTAAAACAATAGCAGTTAAAGGTGAGTCATAGATCTCAGCCTCAGCTGTGGGCGGGGAGCTCTCTGAGTTAGGGTGGCTGTGGCTGCAAAGGTTGGTCTCTGCCCCACAGTTTCTCACCCTCCAGCAGGCCAGCCCCATCTTGCTCACTTCTGAGCCAGGTGAAGGCCTAGAAATGCACTTTAGAACTTCGCCACATTCCCTGGCCAAGGCACACCAAGTGGCCAGCTAGAAAGATTAGGGGCAGACTACACCTCCCGATGGAGGGTCCGGCAAAGTTAGTGTGAAAGGGTGTGAACATGGACGGGGCAGAAAAAAGTGTGGCCTTTACGGGGAGCCACCATAGTGTCCCCAAATAAACTGTAGATATTTCATGATGAGTTTATTATGAGGTCGTAGATGTTCACTATTCAGGCACGGGTTCACAGAAGTAACCAGCTATGAGATTTTCCTTCTCCTTTTTTTTTTTTTAAGAGACCAGCTCTACTCTGTTGCCCTCGCAGGTGTGCGGTGACCTGATCTTAGCTCACTGCAGCCTCAAGCTCCTGGGCTCAGAGCTTTTCCTTCTGAAAAAACCTGTTAAGCAGGTAATTTGCCTCCTGTGCCCGTGGAAGAATTAGCCTGGCACTGCTTTGCTCACACTGCCTGACTGGGCCTTCCCACGCTCCTGGCAGGAGAGCAATGCCCAGGATTGCCATTACTCAGCAGCTCAGAGCCCTTCCCCACCGGGCAGAGTCAGGGGCAGGATACCGCCTGGGATGCCAGCCTTGTCACTGCCCCATCAGAGCATCTAATTCAGGGTCGGGAGCTGCTAAGGACCCAGAACTTGTTGGAGCCACCAGAAAAGGGAAGAGCTGGTGCCTTCAGGGGTGGGAGAGGGCGGGAATGCCAGTTCTTTCCTGTCTTAGTCATAGGTGGGGTGGAAATTAAAGCTTTGCCAGGGAGAGGACAGATGATTCTTTAAAAGCTGGTCTCATTCTCAAGGCTTTTGAGAGAGTCTATTTTTAAAGAGCGGTGGGGCTTAGGGTCAGAATGGTGTGAATCTCCATTCTGCCACTCACTCCATCTGTGAGCTTAGGTGACCTGCTCACCACACCTGACTTCCATTCTTCCAATCTTCTGAGTAGGGAAAACAACATTTAATTTAGAATAAGCCTATGAGGACCAGATTGGGGAAATACCGTATGAGAAGGACTGGTCGCAGGTGGGTACCCACTAAATGTCCGGGTCACATTTTGTCATCCTCACAGCCTCCCCTGAATTGGGTATTAGTAGAACAAATCAGAGTAAGATCTTTAAATAATGAACTTTATGTACCTTCTTCCTCAGGCAGCAGCATCTGTGCACCAACTAGGGTTGATGAAAAATAAAATGGCCCCACTTAAAGTTTCTAAAGAACAGACTCATAAAATGCCCCTCCACTTTCCAACACATGCATGCCCACTGTGACATCTTTTCTTAAAAATTTCAGATTAATATAAGGGTACATACGATTAAGTTGCATGGTTTGTACTTGTTAGGTGAAGTCCAAGTTACAGTCAAGCCCTTCACTCAGGAGGTCCACATACGCCTGCATTATGCCTGTGAGGTGTGAGCTTATCAAGACCTGATCCTCTTCCCTGACCCCACTACTTGAATTTAATTGTTTGTGGCTGTGTGCCTACTTGTCTATGAGTTTCATATTAGTATTGAGTACATGGGATGCCTTGTGTTTGTGTTTCCTCTTCTTGGCTGTTCTAGGATGTCATTTTTACCAGAGGGACCCATACGACCATGAAGCCAGAGCCTGGTGGAACACTCGGGATCTGAGTCCCAGCTCTCTGTTCCCCTGACTGGCCGATCAGCTTAGGGAGGAGAGTGGGAAGCACCTCAGATGCACAGGAAGTCCTTCCTACATGCTGATCTGTCACAGGGCAGACTGTGTTTGCAGGAAGGACTTGCACGGACTGAGTTTTCTGTGACTGACCTCTGTCACAGGGCAGACTGTGTTTGCAGGAAGGACTTGCACAGACTGAGTTTTCTGTGACTGACCTCTGTCA